GGGAGGAGGGAGGAAGGGAGGAGGAGAGAGAGAGAGACACAAAGCAAGTTAGTGAGAGAGTGAGGAAGTGTCCCAAGTGAAAGTGTTCCTAGAGGGCCTCTAAACTCTCCTCCTCCAGCCTTGTTAAGTCAATCTCTCTCACTCTCTCTCTCTCTCTCTCTCACTCTCTCTCTCTTCATCTCTCTCTCTCTCTCTCCTCTCTCTCTCTCTCCCTTAGTCACTCTCTCTCTAGTCCTCTCTCTCTCTCTCTCTCTCTCTCTCTCCCTCTCTCTCTCTCTCAGTCTCTCTCTTTCTTCTCTCTTTCCTCTCCTCCTCTCTCTCTCTTAGTCTCTCTCTCTCTGTCTCTCCTCTCTCTTTCTCTCCCTCTCTCTCTCTCTCTCTCTCTCTCTCCAGGTTAAGGTTAGTGTTAAGTGTGGCTTCAGTGGAGCACTTTAATGTCCCAGGTCTGTGTAAACCCCTTGACAATGGCTGTGTTTCCTTGGTAACTGCTCCCCCTCCCCTCCCCCCTCCCTCCCCTCGGCCTCCTCCACTTCTTCTCTCCTCTCTCCACTCTCCCTCTCTCCTTCCCTACTTCCTCCCCTCCTCCTCTAACCCCTAACCTAACCGAAACCTAACCAACCCTTAACCTAACCTACCACCTACACCAACCCTTAACCTAACCAAACCTATACTTCACCTAACTAACCAACCCTTAACCTCTAACTAACCAAACCCTTAACCTCACCCCTAACCTAATAACCCTTAACCTGACCTAACATCCTCTAACCTAACCTCCCACATACCTGCCTGAAGCCTTGAGGTATGAGTGTTAGCCTGGCGTTTAAGGTTGAGGCTCTCCTAGGAAAGAATATCACATACTAATCTAGGCTGAGTCTCTCCTGGGAAAAAAACTATATACCTAGTTAGTGGCGGCGTCTCCCCTGGGAAAAAAAAACTATATACCTAGTTAATGGCAAAGATTCCCCTGGGAGAAAAAAAAATTACCCCAGATAAGAGTTAAGAGGTCGAGGCTCTCCTAGGAAAAGAATACTCGTTATATCATATACTAAACTTGGGGAATGGAGTCTCCCTGGAAAAAAAATCCAGACGACGCCCGAGTCAAAAAACTTTACCCATCAGCTATTTGACGGATCCTTGTGGGCACCAGACAGTCTATCTATCTGTCTGTCTGTCTGTCTACTCTGTCTGTCTGTCTGTCTACCTGTCTACCTGTCTGTCTGCTGTCTCTTTATCTAAGGAGGGAAGAATTTATGATTGAAATTGATGACTAGTTGAGGAGAGAGAGAGAGAAGAGAGAGAGAGAGAGAGAGAGGACTTCCCTCCTTCTCTACAATTAAAGTAATCTTTTCCCTCTCCTCCCTCCTCCTCTCCTCTCTTCCCCTCCCTCCCCCAAACTACGTCGTTATCTCACTAACTAACTCCACAAACCACAACCTTACCTCAACAACTGTTAAACCACGCCCATTGGCAGTCATATTAAACCACGCCCCCTTCTGAGTACCTTGTTAAACCACGCCCCATTCTGAGTACTTGTTAAACCACGCCCATTGACAGCCTCCTTAAACCACGCCGACATCAAGGGCCACACAAGGTCCCAAGGGTACCGAAGGCCACAACTAAGGGCCACACAGCCAAGAGCCACACAGCTTAGGGCCACACAGCTGAGGGTCCCACAGCTAAGCCACCACTAAAGAGCCACCAGCTAAGCCACTGACTAAGGAGCCACACAGCCAAAAACCACACAGCTAAGAGCCCACACAGCCAAAACCACCTGACTAAGAGCCACACAGCTAAGAGCCACACAGCTAAGGGAGACACAGCTAAGAGCCACACAGCCAGAACCACACAGCTAAGGGCCACACAGCTAAGGCCACAGCCAAGAGAGCCACACAGCCAAGGGCCACAGCTAAGGGCCACACAACAGCCACACAGCTAGGGCCACACAGGTATTATGATCACCAGGTCCCTGAAATTTCCCGGGTCCACCGTCTAATGTTGTACTGCTACAAGAGGCTGGAGACTCTCTCTCTCTCACTCTCTCTGTCTCTCTCTCTCTGTCTCTCTCACTCTCTCTCTGTCTCTCTTTCTCCCTCAGTCTCTCTCTCTCCTCTCTCTCTCCTCTCTCTCTCTTCAGGAGGTAGAGGGAGGAGACTTGTATTATGTCGATAATATTGATCTACTTAATTTTCCTTCCTGTCTGTATATACGAGAGAGAGAGAGAGAGAGAGAGAGAGAGAGAGAGAGAGAGAGAGAGTGTCATGATGCTCCAGTATTGATCTTAATGCTATGAGCTGCTGCCTCCCACACACTGTTCAATATACGTATACGCTTCTCTCTTCTCTCCCCCTCTCTCTGTCATTCTCTGCTCTCTCTCCTTCTCTCTCTCTCCATCTCTCTTTAAATATTTGTACACACACACACCTCAAGGAGACGTACACATACAGTGATGTACACATAAATATACCTGTGTGTGTGTGTGTATGTGTGTGTGTATGTCATAGACGAAGGGCCATGATCGCTCTTACAACAACAACAACAACAACTACTACTACAAACGGGCACAGAGAGAGAGAGAGAGAGAATATTATCACACACACACACAGACTTTCAACGAGGTCAAGGGTGAGGTCATAGGTCAAGGAGCAGGTCGAGGGTCATAGGTCAAGGAGCAGGTCGTAGAGGTCATAGGTCAAGGAGCAGGTCGTAGAGGTCATAGGTCAAGGAGCAGGTCGTAGAGGTCATAGGTTAAGGAGCAGGTCGTAGAGGTCAAGGAGTTGATGATAGGTCGTAGAGGTCAAGGAGTTGATGATAGGTCGTAGAGGTCAAGGAGTTGATGATAGGTCGTAGAGGTCATAGGTCAAGAGGAAACAGTGTTACCAACCTGCCAGCGGGTGTTGTCCAGCAGGTGTTTCCCGGCAACGTTACAACACTGGATTTGGCCGTGGCTGCGTTGGCCTTGGCTACACTCTGGCCACTGGACTTGGCCGCTGTTGAGGACTTATGGCCCAATTTGGTAAACATGGGCATAATGAGGGGGACGGTAACACTGGACAGAACTTGGAGGAGGACGAGTTATTGGTTGAAGTAGTTCCTTGAGATCTTGTTCCCACCTTGAGGCGTCGAGGAGGAGCACCACCACACGACCTCTCTCACTCACCTCATGGAACACTGACCCTGTGAGGTGAAGCACAGCCGCATGATAACCCAACCACGCCTACCCTCCTCCTCCTCCTCCCCTCTCTCTCCCAACCGACCAATCACCGCCAGCTATCGATTCCCGGGAATGCTAAGATCCTTCGGTGATTGGTCGGTTAACCACTACGTCACCGTGGGGACTGCGCTAACTCCGCCCACTGGAGTCTTTGTTTATTGATCATAACGAAAGCTTACTCGTCAACACACAACAAAAACACGACAAAAACACCACAAACACGACAAAAACACGACAAAAACAGCACAAACACGACAAAAACAGCACAAACACGACAAAACAGCACAAACACGACAAAACAGCACAAACACGACAAAAACACGACAAAAACAGCAACAAACACGACAAAACACGACAAAAAACAGCACAAACACGACAAAACAGCACAAACACGACAAAAACAGCACAAACACGACAAAAAACAGCACAACACGACAAAAACACGACAAACACAGCACAAACACGACAAAAACACGACAAAAACAACACAAACACGACAAAAACAACACAAACACGACAAAAACAGCACAAACACGACAAAAACAGCACAAACACGACAAAAACACGACAAAAACAGATTAATAAACCCAACAAACGAGTAAAGGAAGAATATAACTCAATTACTGACACCACTAGAGGGCGCTGACTCCTTAACAACAGTTGTTTATGGAGCTATGGGACTATGACACCACTTGACTACCTCCTGCCAACACCTGCCACCTCTTGCCAACACCTGCCACCTCCTGCCACCACCT